AGCTGCTAACGCTTTTCCCTTGTGCTTTCTCACCTCAGATGCCTTGCGGTTATCATTTCCATTACTCTTCCATCCCATGTCACTATCACCCTCATAGGCCAGTTCCACAGATACTTAAGTTTATCCAGGCAGATCTGAGGTAGCTAGCAATGTTACCTGTTCTGTCACTCTTGGAAACACTCCCATTGTTTCCTTCTGTGGAATCACGTCTTGATTTCTCTCCAGCCAAAACTATCTTCTCATGTATTATACATTCTGCACCAAGTCAGTGTTATGTCCCTCATTCTCAAGTCTAAAGTCACCTCTCTGTACTTATACCAATGTTATCCTCCCTTTGTGACTTATCCAAACCAGCCTCCAATACACACCTTTTCAGAGATAGTTAAATTTTTTGTCATACTTTCTATGTCAAAAGGGAATCTATGAACTCATCTTTAACAGAGTGTATCTCTATATTGTGATAGTTTGAATGTGATGGCCCTTGTAAGTCTGGAGTATTGGAATTCCTGGTCTCCAGCTGGTGTCTGCTTGGGGAGGATGAGGAAGTAAGTAAGGATGGCCTTACTGAAGGACAGATGTAGTAGGCTTTGAGATTTGTTTCTAGTACATCCTCTCAGCTTCCTGTTTATGGACTGAGATGCACTCTCTCAGCTACTGCCCCAGCCTCCTGCCACCTGCTATTTCCACACTCTGTCATCATGGACTGTTATCACTCTGAACCATAGCCAAAGACACTTGCTTCTATGAAACGCCTTGGTCATGGTGTTTTAGCACAGCCGCAGAAAGTAACTAGCACATATCCATAGAGCATAGCTTCTACTCCTTGACGTTTAGAAAGTCTGAATCTATATGCTGATGTTTCCTAACCCAATTATTCAACATACACCACTCTTGAAATCTCCAGATTTCACCTTTCAATCAAACTTTTTATCGTGCATCTCCTCCTTGATATGCCTTAGCTGTATTTGTAAAATTGACTCGGTCCTTCTGTAAAACTACCTTCAGCTTCTAGTGAAACCTAAGTGTGAGATTAATTCTCTTGTATTTGAAGTCAGTCCCACGACGTTTTTCCTATAGCACACAATCTCTGATGTATCTGCAGTGTCAGCTTTCATCCAATCTCATTGTTCCTTGACTAGCCTACCCTAATGGGCCCAATGTCCCAAGTGTTCAACGCCCAACTCCATATGAAAATCCTTCAACTTTCCCTAGCACCTTTAAACAAAACTCCTTTGAAATCTCTGAATAGTCTTAGTCCAGACATCTCAGTCTTACATCTCTATGTGTCTGTTTCCCAAGATAAGCTATAATACATGTACTAGGCACATCAGGTTTTATAATAAAATTATTATTTCTTTCATACTTTCAGAAAATACTTATGTGCTGTGTTAATAAATAGGATCATAGCAACACCTCTCCAATTGATTTCAATAATGGAAAGGTCTGTGCTGTGCTGACCATAGTCTCTTTGAGTAAAGTACTAATTCCACAAGTATGAGGACCTAACTTCAATCCCCAGACCCCATGTAAAGGTGAAAGGAGAGAGCTGGCTCCTCTTAAGTGTCCTCTAACATCCATGTGTGCTAGCCAAAATACACATCTACATACATATAGTAATAATCAATAAAAATAATAATTTTGAAAAACAAAAAATAATAATAAGGTAACTACTATGTGTGTGGTTTATATTTTCTGAAAAAAAGGGCCATTGGGAAAAATAGAATTAAAACACTCCAGCAAAGGGATATGCCAAAAGTATGAGCTCTGGAGCATGTCAAGCATTGAATTATTCCCTGTATTACTTTCCTTACTTGTAAAAAATGGATGATAAAGCCCACTTCCAGAATTAGAATTAGAGTTAGAATTAGAATTAACTAACATGACACAGGGGGAGAACCCAGAATCATTTGTGACTGCTGCCTGTCCACAGGGACTGAAATACAATGAAGAAGAGCAGTGACTGACGGCAGAGCTGACTGACTGACTGACTGACTGACTGACTGACTGACTGGCTACCTGGTTATCTGGCTACCTGGCTGCCTGCCTCCTAAAGCTCATGGTTAAGTCTGGCATTCTTGCTCTATGATTTTTGTCTACTGTATGACTTCTTAATTCAGGAAAAATTGAGTTCAATTGAAATTGGGAAAAAGGTTTTATTTGGGGGGGGAGTTCAAGACAGGGTTTCTCTGTAATTGCTTTGGAGCCTATCCTGGAACTTGCTCTGAAGACCAGGCTGTCCTCAAACTCACCGAGATCTGCCTGCCTCTGCCTCCTGAGTGCTGGTATTAAAGGCGTGCACCACCAACGCTCAGCGTGAAAAAGGTTTTAAAGGCAATCGTTTCATAGGCTCCAGGAAACCAACATGGGGCAGCAATTGTGTAACATCACTGCCAAAACCAACTGCAATTTACAGATTACCAGGCATTTTGTTTCTATAATGTAAGTTCCTTTCACGTGGTTCATATTCTGAAGTATTTGGTAATAGCAAGGATATCACTGAATAGATTCCTAAGCTGTCCATTGCTCTACACATTAAGGAAGAACTGGAACACAAAACTCAATTTTAGGAACTAAAAAGTTTTCAGGTCAAAATTGTGCTCTTCACCAAAGTAGCAAAGAGCTTTCTGAATCGATGACTTTTTAAACATAATTTTCTACTCTTCACCTTGAACACAGCTTATTTAGCTATATCATTTAAATACTATTCTGGCCTTTCTATGCCATTTCTTTGTTCTTTGCCTTTTATGATGTCAGAGACATCTTTGAATTTGAGTCACTTATGCTTTCAGAGTGACAGATCTGTTTGGCATCTGATTCCCTCCATCTTTTATGCAGTGTCTCCCACTGTGTGCACCTTGCCTGCAGACAGTACGCATAACAAACAGCTCCACCTCTTCCCTGAGAATCTCTAAACCATGGATTTAAGCATTGCTTCTTTAAGGAACAAGGTACTTAGAAATGAATTTGGATAATTGAATACACTTCAGAAGACACACAGCTTTGTTATTCTCAAATCCAATTTTCGCAAACTTCTATCAACCTCTGATAGTCTCTTCACTTTGAAGTCTGGAGACATAGGTGGGAGGGTTTCCTGTCCCTTCAGCTGCCCATTCAGTCGCCATTTCTATGACATATTACAAGATGATTTTCTAATTTATACTCTGGTCTCAAAGGTATTTGAGTAACTCACTACATTAATTTGAATTAATGAATGAGTCATTGATCATGGACACATTCATCATTAATTTTAAGTGAAGCTTTCTCAGTTGGCTTTTAGCATCAAAGCATAACATGGCAATTTGTAGCTGGCACAGCAGAAGAGATCTCCTTATTCAACCTACAAATTATTCTCATTTATTCTTGTTATAGTCATGATTATAATAGCGAGTGATGTTTTTACAGATAAAAGTTACTCAGGAGCATTTAAATTTTGTTTGAGAAAAATAAATATATGCCTATAGGCACAGACAATGTATACATAATATAATTTATAACTACATGTATGCATATATACACATTACATATGACTTGATGGAAATAATGCATCTGTAAGTTGTAAGTCACATACTGAATTCAATGCATGCTTGATATAGTCATCATGGTAAGTGATGAGTAATATTTCTATTGAAATTAGAAGCTAAAGATGCTTGTAAACAGTGCTATCCCTTGCATTACAATGTAGGTGTTATAGAATTACTTTAAGACAAGAACTTGGAAGTATAAATATTGAAATAATTAACAAGTGATTTGATGATACTTTATAATGTGAAAATCCCAAACACTTAGAAATATGCAGAATTTCTAAGACTGCTAAATATAAACATAAGTAAACCATATGTGTCCAACAATAACAACCTAGACAGGAAATAAGCAATGAGAATGTGCAGAAAGTACAATGAGGAAAACAACTGTAGACCTATTGCAGAAGATAAAAGACACACACACACAGGGATATTAACTTTAACTAGGAAAACCATACTAGAAAAATGTCAGTTTCCTTGCTAAATGAAATCTACAAATTCAACCAAGTCCTAAGGGAATGGAAAATATAGAATTGACAATGTAATTCTAGAGTTTATCTGTGAGCATCAACTTCTGAATACTTGGCACCATGGTGTCAGTGGAAAAAAAAATAACAGTCATGTAAATAATGTTGGTAATCAGCTATCTTCTTAGGGAAAATAAAGCTGGAACTCTATCCCTCATCCATCACTATAACACTGTAGAAAATTTAAAGCTATATCACTGTGGTTTAATATAGGAGTAAAGACAGTAAGATAAATATGAGTTATTATTTATAGAAAACAGGTGACATAAAGAAAAGTTTTAGTGGTGAAAATATGCTTAAGCATAGGGAAATATTAAAGCATAGCTCTGTGTCTGTACAAATATGCTATCATGATGCTTCTTCAACAATCTAAATGGCCAGTCATGTTAACTTGAGTAACTCTCCAAGGTGAAAGGTTCAAAAAAAAAAAAAAATCAAAGGGAGAAACCAAAGAGCTTACAGGGAAGTTAGTGCACTTTGCCTCAGAATTGTGGAATTTCAATGTTTGTATTTTCCATTTTTAGTTTTTCTCTATTGTTAGAATCTTTGACATGGATTTCACTTACCTTTATAAACAAGATAAGACATTATTTCCAGGAATTATATCTATTAAAAATGGAAGACAACTCTGAAATATTAATCGGGTGTTTGAAGCCATAGTCTGACTTCACTTGCTAATGGATATACAACTCTCTGGCCAAGGTACTTTATGTTTCTCAAAACACTCGCTTTTGATTTTATTTGATTTTATTTTGATTTTATTCTTTGGCCTTCTACAATTCTAAAATTCATTGAATACACATAAAAAGTCATTGAATGCAAAGCACATATTCTGCAATGAAGACTCAGGGGCGAAATGAGGAAAGACAAGGCATTATCGAGTGTCATTTCCATAAGATAATGAGAGGATGTTAGTGACCTCGGGATAAGAGTGAGTGAAAGGGGCATCGCGCCACCTAATCCCACGCATCAACCCGGTCCTCCGGCTCAGCCGCGCAGGTTGAATCGACCAAAGCGATGGTTATGGAGAAGCCTAGTCCCCTGCTGGTCGGGCGGGAGTTTGTGCGACAGTACTACACCCTGCTGAACCAGGCCCCGGACATGCTGCACAGATTTTATGGAAAGAACTCTTCCTATGCCCACTGGGGCTTGGATTCCAACGGGAAGCCAGCGGATGCGGTCTACGGGCAGAAGGAAATCCATAGGAAAGTGATGTCTCAAAACTTCACCAACTTCCACACCAAGATCCGCCACGTGGATGCTCGCGCTACTCTGAATGATGGGTGGGGGTCCAAGTGACGGGGCTACTGTCCAACAACAACCAGGCTCTGCGGAGGTTCATGCAGACCTTTGTTCTTGCTCCCGAGGGTTCTGTTGCTAACAAGTTCTATGTTCACAACGACATCTTCAGATACCAAGATGAGGTCTTTGGTGGCTTTGTCACTGAACCTCAGGATGGATCTGAGGAGGAAGTAGAAGAACCTGAAGAAAGCCAGCAGACACCTGAGGTGGTGCCTGATGATTCTGGGACTTTCTATGAGCAGACGGTCAGCAACGACTTAGAGGAGCATTTACAGGAACCCGTTGTGGAGCCGGAGCCAGAACGAGAGACAGAGCCAGAACCAGAGCCTGTGCCTGACATCCAGGAGGACAAGGCTGAGCCTGCATCGGAGGAAGCTGCTCCTGAGCATGTGTGAAAGAGCGCTTCTCCCGCCCCAGCGGATGTTGCCCCAGCCCAGGAGGATTTGAGGACGTTTTCTTGGGCATCTGTGACTAGTAAGAACCTTCCTCCCAGTGGGGCTGTTCCAGTGACGGGGACACCACCCCAGGTGGTAAAAGTGCCACCTTCACAGCCTCGTCCAGAATCTAAGCCTGAATCTCAGATTCCACCACAAAGACCTCAGAGAGATCAGAGAGTTCGAGAGCAACGGATCAATATTCCTCCTCAGAGGGGACCCCGGCCGATCCGTGAGGCTGGTGAGCCAGGAGATGTGGAACCTCGGAGGATGGTGAGGCACCCTGACAGTCACCAGCTCTTCCTCGGGAGCCTGCCACATGAGGTTGACAAGTTGGAACTGAAGGATTTTTTCCAAAATTATGGGAACATGGTGGAAATGCGCATCAACAGTGGCGGGAAGCTGCCCAGCTTCGGTTTTGTTGTGTTTGATGATTGTGAGCCTGTTCAGAAGGCCCTTAACCATAGGCCCCTCATGTTCCGAGGCGCAGTCCGTCTGAACGTGGAAGAGAAGAAGACTCGAGCTGCCAGGGAAGGAGACCGCAGGGATAACGGCCTTCGGGGACCTGGAGGCCCCCGTGGTGGGCCGAGTGGTGGGATGAGAGGCCCTCCCTGCGGAGGCCTGGTGCAGAAACCAGGCTTTGGTGTGGGCAGGGGGATCGCAACTCCAAGGCAGTGAATTGCTTGGCCCAGATCTCCACACAGCACACAGCCCTGGCTCCTGCAGAATGGTGAATTCCTTCAACCAGCCTTTGGTGTCTTGGAGTAGTCTATTATAAACTGCTCAAGTTTGTACAATTCTAATTTCGCGTGTGTTCATGGTGTGTGCCCCCACTTCCCCTTTCCTCCCCCTGACCTTTTAGTCCTTCACTTCCAGTTTTCCGGAATGATACTTTAGGAGGAGTAGGATTTTAAGAAGAGGAGGGAGTCTCACCTTCCTGCTCACGCTGCAGATACAGACTGGAGTGTAACGGCCATTCCCCAAAGGAGCTCGTCTCGCTTCTCACTGACAATGGATGTTTCATTTGTTGGGAGACACAGGATTTGATAAACATTTTGGAAGCAGGAAAAATCCATGTTATCTGTCAAGAGTCACGACTCCGCTCTGGTGTGGAAAAATTGCCTTTTGGCAACTGCCACCGGGTCCCTGCTGATGTGGCTAACTGAATAAAAGGTGTTTCCAGAAAAAAAAAAAAGAGTGAGTGAAAGGGACACTTAAGTGACTAACCCTTCCTCTATCTCTGCAGCTAGTCATATGCTTTTATTTAAGGGACACCCTTTCCAACAGTGTAATCTACTTCTGCACTACTCTTCAGCATTAGTTAATTGCTATAGCAATCATGATGCTCACATAATTTGTAACACTGGTGTATAACACTATATTAATTTCAAGCTCCAGTAGAAACATGGAAAGACCTCAAAATTTATCAAGTGAAATAAGGAAGGTAAGAAAAATTATTACTCTCAAAAGTGTAAAGAGAGAATGCACTTGATTGGAAGAGTTAGCTAAATTAGGTGATTTGTTTTTTGGTTTTTTTGTTTTTTTTTTAAAGCAGTCCCCAGGTTCTTCTGGTGTGGCAGTGTTAACTTATTTTTATTCTAGTTAAACTATCTGTATAAGTTTGACTTATGTCAAAGTTAAAATAAAGAAGAGAAAATCATACTTCTGCAAGTAAACTGTGTGTCTTCAGTCAGTATCTTATTCTTTCTCTGTCTTAGTTTCTCTTACTACTACCTACCCAAGAAAGAAAAATGCTGGTGTAAAACACACAAGTTCGAAATCTGCCTCTGGAAATTGAGATTTTTATGTTTCAGTGCCTATATTTTTAACTTAATATCTGAAATCCTTGTATATTTACTAAGTACCTTATTCTTACTAACCTTGGAGATTTTAGAAACAAATTAGCAGATCAGGTAATTCAATATTTTAAGTATGTCTACCCATTTCCCTCTGGAAATAGCCAACAGTCACAAGGCTGCACAATCAGCATCTTCTCCTAGGGGAATTTCCTCTCTTAGTCTTAGGCTCTAAAATAACAAAGTGGAGTACATGCTATCAGGGGTCCAACAGATGCCAAAAGTATGGAAAGAGGAAGGAATTGAACACATTTTCTCAACTTTTGCTAAACCCTTGCTTTGTGGAATGAGATAAATTCCACAAACCCTTCTCTCAAAAAAAAAAAAAAAAAAATCCTACACAGGCTGTGATTTACTGTTATTTTGAAAGATTGATAGAAGCTAGGGTTCTAAAGACATAAAACAGCCAGAGGTGATACAACATTATTTGAAAGAAATCAAGTGAACCCCAAAATAAACACCATCATCCTTAATCTTTACCTGTGCTATCTGCTGCATGTTATTCATAATATAAATGTTGCTACAGGAAGTTACTCTTTGGCTCCTACATTATGAAGGGACCTGTCAAACCCATATCTACAGGAGACAAAACTTGGTAGGTGAGAGCAGAATTTTTGCCTTGGTATGAAGGTGTGCGTTAGAATCTGGGACTGGAATGTGCGTCCTAACCTCTGCATTGATCACACTTCTGGTGTGTCCGGGCTCACAGGGCTCATGGAACATGACTTCTCACAATATGCAGTAGTGTACAGTGTTGTTTTTCATTATTGTGCCAGTTTTTTTTTCACATTTAGTCACAAAGGGAGCAATAAAAAGTAGTAGCCACAATTTTCATCAGTAAACTTTAAGCATTGCCAGAATTTCCTTTTGTGTCTCTAAATGCTTTCTCAGTCCTAAACTCATTTGAAAATTTACATCATTATTCTGCTTTTATAACAAGGGAGGTACACAATGGGATGAAAGAGTACTAGTCTTTGGAAACTTACTTTACAGAAGTCTTAGTTCCCTCCCCTGCAGGGCAGGCAAAACCATTCATGTACTTCTCCTGAGGTACACTTTAGAACTGAACACAAATAATATGCTTACACAAGGACACTTCCTAAGAAAAGCATCAGGGTAAGGACGTCTCCTGGGTTCCAAGCAACAGAGTCTTGTGGTCATTTATACATCTCGAATTTCTAATTCCCAAGGTATCACCCCACTTTAAACGGCAAAGACCACTTGCTTACAGTCACCAATATTCTACATCCCTCTTTAAGTGACAACCTTGCTACCACAAATGGGTCAGGTACAACATGTACTCATTAGAAATACAATATCTCTGTCCCTGCTTCATGTCTTAGAAATCTAGATCATCATTAGGACAGGATCCCCACTGAGTTGACAGGCATGCTTACACACATGGTACATGAAATCACACTCGAATCAAGAAAGACAGAATTTAGGCAATAGGGAGGTGGGTTGGCATTATAACATCACTTTCTTCTCTTCCTAATGACCTGAGTTTGGTTTCTAGCATGCACATGGTGTCTCATAACCACTCATAACTCTGGTTTCCAGGAATTACACACCCTCATTTGGCTTCCATGGGCACTGCATACACACGAAGAACTTATATACAGGGGAAAAAACACTCATACATACAAAAAATAAAAATAAATACTTCCCCAAAATAGTACAGACTTAGTCAATGCCTTGTTGCTGATTGATAAGAATCTGAAAAAGAAATTCAGTACTCGCATAGGTGGTTCAGTGGTAGAATTCTCGTCTGCCTCACAGGAGGCCCAGGTTTGATTCCCGGCCAATGCGGTTCTATGTTCTGGGAGGATGGGAGGGAGAGGGAACTGGGATTGATATATAAAATAAGATTGTTTCTAATTTAAATTTTAAAAAGATATAAAGAGAACTTTAGTAGATGAAAAGTTATCATAAAAAAATAATTAGCAGTGCTTAGGTGAGCCAAGTCCTATATGATTTCAAAGCTCATGTTTCCCTACATTACGCTATTGACCAAATGGAACTGCATCCTATTTTCCTGTAATTGTGTATTATGGAGATAGAAAAGTAGATAGATAGACAGACAGATAGATGAAGGGGGATGTCCTTCTGTATGATGTGAATATATTATCGGTTGATAAATACAGTTGTTTCGGCCACTGGACAGGCAGGATGTAGCCAGGCAGGAAGTATAGGCAGGGCTACCAGGCTAGAAGAATGCTAGGGAGAGTGAGTCATGCATGAGACGCCATGTAGCTGCTGAGGAAGAAAGGGACCCGGGGATCACAAGTAAGCCAAGACCAAGTGGACAGACATAGATTAATAGAAATGGGTTAATAAGAGAGAGACATCAAATTAGAAGCCTGAGCCATTGGCCAAACAGTTTATAATTAATATAAGCCTCTGTGTGTTTATTTGGACTAAATAGCTGTGGGACTGCATAGAACAGAAACTTCTATCTCCAGGTAGATATTTAAATGGATAAATGATAGATGGCTAGATATGACAGATGATAAGTTCCAAAATAAAAAAAAATTACATAGCATGTTTTATCTAAGATTATGATACTCAAAATACTCAATAATTGTCACTTTAATGGTAATTAAGACATCATCCTATGTAATTTTTCATTAATTAATAAACCAGTGGCAGAAATAATGTAAGTCATGATGATGAGATAACAGGAAAAAATTAAATGTGTAACTAGGATCAAGCACTTAACTAAGTCTTAAAACATCTTAATATTATACACCATAATTAAGTCATGTTATAACAAAGATCTAAATGCTAGAATCGGAGGTTTTCTGAGGTAACATTAAAAATGAGGTAAGACAAGGTGATGGTGAATTTTATCAAGAGAAATGTCCAGGGACAGGAAAGATGGCTTGTGGAGGACTGGGGTTCAAATACCAGCACTCCTGTCAGGGGGCTCATAACTTACCTGCATCCCCAGCACCACGTGGACTGGATGCCTCTGGCCTCCTTGGGCACTTGCACTCACTTGCACAAGCCCAAACACAGATATACAAGCAGTCAAAATTAATATAAATATGGACTACACAGTAGAAAGTTACAGTCCAGGAAGAAAGTTTAGTTGATAAAACACTTGTCAGCCAAACAGGAGGGACTTAAGTTTGATCCCCAGAACCAATGTTTAAAACTGCAAATGTGTGGGCTGGCAGTCTCTGAGTGTGCTGCCTTCAGGCCAAGGCCCCAGTAATAGTCCTGCCTCCATCCAGGAAAAATGGACAGACATCAGAGTATTGGAACTGTTTGTATCTACCAGAAGGGAACCTTGGTCCCATACCCACCAAGAGAGAAAGAGACTCCTGCTACACCCATCAGAAGAAAGGATTGGAAGAATACAATATAAAAGCACAGTCAACAACAGAAAAACCAATATGACAACACAGGAGACTAGGGACCAGACACCAGCAAGACCAGAACATCACAATACAGATGAAGCAGAAGAGAATGCCCTTAAAAACATCTTCATGAAAATGATAGAGAGCCTCAAAGAGGATATGAGAAAATCCCTTAAAGAAATGGAAGAAAAAACAAACCAGAAAATACAGGATATCAACAAATCTTTCAATGAAACACTTCAAGACCTAAAAACTGAAATAGGGACAATAAAGAAAGCACAATCTGAGGGAATGCTGGAAATAGAACACCTAGATAAATGATCAGGAACTACAGATGCAAGCATAACCAACAGAATACAAAAGATGGGAGAGAGAATCTCAGGAGTTGAAGACACACTAGGAGAAATAGACTCATCAACCAAAGAAAATCTTAAGTCTAACAAATCCCTAATACAAAATATTCAGGAAATATGGGATACCATGAAAAGACCAAACCTAAGAATAATAGGTATAGAAGAAGGTGAAGAAATCTAACTCAAAGGCACAGAAAACATATTCAACGAAATCATAGAAGAAAACTT